GAAAGTACAGCACTTTGTCCCTTCTAGTACTACTCCTTTCCTTAGGACAAAACAGATAACATCATAGAAACGAAAGAAGCTTAGCAGTTACCCTCGGCTAATTTAGTCATCTAGACAGTACGTACTGTGTTTACAAACTTGTTTATCCTTGTTAAACATCCTAAACATCCTTGTTAGATATTTTCCTAAAGCTCTTTACATTTTAAGAATCAATTCACTTTTTAGATTTCCATTTCAACACAGACACAGACAGCACACAGGGACACAGATAGGACACAGACAGACCCAGACAGACACAGACACACAGGCATTTCCAAAGGCTCTCAGGTACACTACTGGTGTTGAGCACTAACAGGGCAACAGAGGGGTCTCTGTACAGTACACAGGAGAGTCCGGCTGGCAGGGCAGTGGAGTCTGCTCTGTGCTGATGCCTCCACACAGCTCGAGTCAAGTATTTCACTCTCCAGTGTGAGTGTTCTCCCGCCACTCACGTCTCAGCAGCGCAATCTGCACACCCCTGCACACCTCTCAGTCTGCTCCCAGGTAGGGGTGCCCTCGCCTGCGCTGATGGAGGTTAACAGGGTAGTCACAAAGCTTGCGCAGCCTTCAAAGGGGCTTTTGAACGGTCTTCAATATTGTCTGAACAGTACAGTTTCTTTTCTGTGTCATACAGAGGGATATAAACCCACGTTTCTATTTGTTTTTTTCAAGCTGGAAAACGTGCAGACCCAACAAGTCTGTTCTTGTCCCAACATAAGGATTTAATTTTCCTTTTTTTTTTAACAGTCTTCGCCGGGGCTGGCCCGCGGAGAGCGGAGAAAGCCCCGCCCACGGCTGGCCGAAGACGCGCTGATTGACAGGGCGGCTGTCCAGTGAGGCTGGCGGGGGGGGGGCGGGGCTCGGGGCCCGGTTTAAGAGCGACTTGACGGGACCCTCCCGGCACGACTCTCGCTGCTGCTGCTGCACCGGAGGAGCGAGGCGTCGGGCTCGGCAATCGCGGTGAGTTTTGTGTGTTTTCCCGGCTTTGGTCGGGAGTAACTCGTGGTCTGCGGCTCGTTTGCCAGTGTTTGGGGAAGAGCGGGCGGCGCTGGAGCCGGAGGCCCGCCCTGCTGCACCTTCACCCCCGGGGCAGGGAAACGGAGCCGGCGGCCGGCAGGCGTGCTGCCGGGGAGGCGGTGGGTCCAGCATCGCCGCAGCCCGGCTCAGGGCCGTCCGCGGTTTGCACCGGGTGGGCCGGGTGCGGCTTGTCCAGATGAGCGCAGTCCCGAGCGGGACCCCGGGGCGCCGCGCAGGGCCAGTGCAGAAGGGGGCGCCTCCTCTTTGCCCACCGGCGGCGTGTTTCTGTCTGTTGCGCCGCTGTGGCTCCGGTGAGCCCTCGCTGGAGCCCGCGTGTGACTTCGGCTGCCCCGGTTGTGAATTTTAGCTGCACCGCTGAGGTATGTCATGCAAAACCTGTTTCCTTGGGACATGTAGAGATGTAGCACTAAGTGCTGCTTTACTTGACGTGTCGCCTGCAGTTGCAGCTGTGAAGTCTCTCTCTCGACTGCAGCTTTAATGAAGTACCTTCTGTACAGAAGGGGTCCTGGACAGCTCCCAGTACCTACACTGCGTGTAGCTTCAGTCTGAAAGCCTACTCGTTAATACTGTATAGAAAACAGAACCGGAACTGGGAGTGGGGGTGGAGGAAAACGAGCCAGCTCCTTAAAGTATGTGACCATCTGGAATGAAGTGTTTGTACTGTGTTGGGTGTATCTGAATTGGACTCGTTAGACTAAAGGCATCAGTAAAGAGACACCTCCCGGCGCTGTAGTACCGACAGCAGCTGTGATCCCTCGGATTGCGCTGTGCTGTGAGGGTCCTGATGGCTCACCTGTGTTTGAGAAAGTACCGAGGCTGGCTCCGAAGAAGACCGTGCAAGTCAGAGCCAGAAAACCTCAGGTTTTCCTTCAATCTTCAATCCTTCGGAAAGTGACCCTGAAATCTCTCTGAGAGAAGGTCTGTCAGAGCGCCGATCTGGCGGAGCCGGAGAGGGAGTCCTGGAGTCG